TACCTCTCCATCTCCCTCTTCTTCTGGCTTTTTTCTCCCTCTCCATCTTCCTCTCACTCTTCCTCTCCCTCTCCTTCTCCCTCTCCTTCTCCGTCTCCTTCTCCGTCTCCTTCTCCCTCTCCCACTCCCCCTTCCCCTTCCCCTTCCTCTCCTTCCCCCTCTCCCTCTCCCTCTCCCTCTCCCTCTCCCCTCTTCCCCTCCTCTCCCTCTCCCTCACTCTCTCCCTCTCCCCTCCCTGTCCCTTTCCCTGTCTCTCTCCCTTTTCCTCTCCCTCTCTCCCTCCCCTTACCTTCCCCTCCCTCGCCGTCTCCTCCTCATATCTTGATCCCCTTTCGCTCTCCCTTGTGACACAGCCCTGCGCGCCCCACAGCCGGGAAGGGCGAGGCGGCCGCCGCGCGTCTCGGCGCGTCAGATCACGCTAGACCTGCTGCGCACGCGCGGTATCACCGGCCTGTATCGGGGCACGGCCGCCACCATGCTCAGGGACGTCTCCTTCAGCTGCGTCTACTTCCCGCTGTTCGCCCACCTGAATGCGCTGGGACCGCGCAAGGGTGACGGCTCAGGTAACTGCGGTGACGACACCGGCTCGCCCGAGTCCGCTGCGGCCGGGTGGGCTCGCCCGAGTCCGCTGCGGCCGGGTGGGCCGGCCCGCCTGAGTCCGCTGCGGCCAAGTGGGCCGGCCCGCCTGAGTCCGCTGCGGCCGAGTGGGCCGGCCCGCCTGAATCCGCTGTGGCCGAGTGGGCCGGCCCGCCTGAGTCCGCTGCGGCCGAGTGGACCGGCCCGCCTGAATCCGCTGCGGCCGAGTGGGCCGGCCCGTCTGAGTCCGCTGCGGCCGAGTGGGCCGGCCCACCTGAGTCCGCTGCGGCCGAGTGGGCCGGCCCGCCTGAGTCCGCTGCGGCCGAGTGGGCCGGCCCGCCTGAGTCCGCTGCGGCCGAGTGGGCCGGCCCGCCTGAGTCCGCTGCGGCCGAGTGGGCCGGCCCCGCCTGAGTCAACTGCGGCCGAGTGGGCCGGCCCGCCTGAGTCCGCTGCGGCCGAGTTGGCTGGATGCGTCAGGCCACTTCAGTGGCGTCCAGCTCACAAGCTGTTGAAGCGCTGTCGTGATCCGGGCAGTCTTTAACTCGTGCGTCGCAGGATGTAAACACACCTTCAACGCTGTCGGTGAAATAAGACCACATCAGTTTGTCTTCGACATGCGAGATGCGAACACCGAAACACGTTGTGAGTGCGAGCATAGTGTTTTTAATGTCGTAGTGTCATCACATCTTTTTTAATGGTCTTCGTCCTGAAATGCTGATTACCAATGTTTATTTTGAATATTCGTTGGTAAAGGCTACTGTGATTACACCAGAGAGCCAACAACACGTCTGGACCTAGATTTACCGGGCCTGTTTTAATGAACGCTCACACAGCTTAATTTACTGACAGAATGAATTTGACGCAAGGGATCTTTGCAAGTTAAAAGATGTTCAGGTGTGCGCAACTCAGTCCATTGTCTTGCGGGTTGAACGACATGAACTTAATGGTATGTCACATCGGCTCACAATTGGCCTTGGACTCCGAACTTCAAATGTAAACTACAAGCACGAAAAAAAACACAGTTTCTTGACCCTCGCCTTCCACCCTATTTGTCGTTTAAAAATGACATATTGTGTGCCCCGAAGGTGGAAGTACATTGCGTGACAAGCTCGCGAAGGGATTAAGCAATAAACGTGAAAACATATATGATTGAGTCAAGAGATACACAGGCTTTTTGCGAGTTCAGCAATGTCTAATTTGCTGTTCTGGTTTACCTTTGAGATGCAGGCCACCAGAGCCACCCTTGCTTGGTTGTCTCCGAAACGCCAAGAACGCTATAGGCCGGTCGCCGACCGTTGCATTACCTCGGTTTTTCTTAAAATGAGACGGTACGATCCGGGCATAATCCAGCTTGATGGAGGTAATATCTTCGAAGCCTGAAGCGCGAGGTATAGCGTCGGCCCGCCCGCCGGTGGCTTTGTCGAGGAATGGGTCACATGCGTTTATGATTAATGTCTCTGCTTTCCAAGAAGTGTTTGTTCAATGCAACAGGTATGTTGTCGTTTGCCCTCGTGGCTCTGACGGGAGTCCCGATATAGTGTTTCCCCACTGTAATGTGCTTCTTTCTGGTCGTTGCATGCCAGAGCGATCCGTTTCGACAAGTTGCCAGCAGCTGGGGTTACGGGGCACAATAGCTCACGTGTGTGGGCTCTGTCATTTCTGCTTCTCTTCTCGTCGTCGGTTGTTTCTGGGCAGGGGGCGGTGCAGGAGCAGGGTGCTCGCAGGGCGTCTACTGCCTGGTCAGACGGTGGTCTGGTGATCACATAGTCGGTGCCGTCGGGCGACACTGTGTTTCGGCGTTGACGAGGCCTGCGCCGCCAGGACTGTGTGCGAGGCTGTGTCGCGCACACGGGCCCTGTGCTGGCTGGCCAGATGGTGTGGTAATCGGCGGCTTGTATCGCCAAGCTGCGGTACCTGTGTGCTCTGTGCCGCCACGCAAGGTAGGATTTTAGGTAGGTAGGTAGGATTAGGCGGCGCTGTAGCGCTGACGCGACCTGTGCCGCCAGGCGAGGCGGTGTTCTGGTGTTCATTCCTGTCCGGCTGCGCCGCCGGCTCGCTGTCGGCGCTGGCCGTCAACCCGTTCGATGTGGTGAAGACCCGGCTGCAGGTCATCAACAAGGGCCAGGGCGACGCCGTGTACTCGGGCATCGCCGATGCTTTCGTGTGAGTGGTGCCCTTCCCCCCCCCCCCCCCCAGACCGCTATCTAAATAATTGCCGCGTTTTCATTGTCTTAACTCTGCAAAATGCTACGTGCTTCCCCGCCAGCGCTTTATGGATCTATCGTTGCAAGTATTTGGGCACAGTCTTGGTGCCCTCCAGACCCGCTGCCTAAATAAAATGTGTTTTCATTGTCTTAGCTCTGCAAAATGCAGCATGCTTCCCCGCCGTGGCTATGTCGATCTATAATTGTAAGTATTTGGGTACAGCCTCGCTCGCAGGCTCTCCAACGCGTGGTGACCGTCTTTCGTGGCGGCTGTAGACGTTTTGTCCGTGTTTGTCAAGGTTGCGTTGTGCGATAGGATGACATGAGAATAGTTGGGCTGAGGCTGTCGTGGCGCTTGAAGTCATTGGACGCATTTGAAGCGTGGCAGTGCTTGGATTGCAAGCAGGGAGATCTCGCGTGCGATGAGAACAGCCCGCCATTTAAGTGGATACTTGTGACAGTTTTTACTGCCGCCCTTTGTATTCAGTCTGACTGCCGTATGTCGCCCATGGTTGAGCTGCCGGTGGATTGTCGCACAACAGGCGCTTCGATCTGGGGTGAAGTATGACCTCTGTGCTCACGGTCTTCCCCTCCGTTTCCAGCAAGATCATGAAGCAGGAGGGCGTGCGGGCCTTCTTCAAGGGCGGCGCCTGTCGTATGATCGTCATAGCGCCGCTGTTCGGCATCGCCCAGATGGTCTACTACTTCGGCGTGGCCGAGGCACTGTTGGGCTATGAACGCTAGTGGAGGCCTAGTCTCGATTGTCGTTCGCGGGGGTTTGGTGAGGCCGCTACAAGCCGGCGGCGAGCCGCCCCACCCCGGTCCCGGGTGTAGCCGCGTTAACATCCTTAGACACGATGTTGTTTTAAAAATGGTGTGTGTGTCCGTGTGTGTGTATGTGGAGGTGGAAGGCGGCGAGGATGGGTCCTTGCACCGATCCATGAGTGCGCTGGCGTTCGTGTAAAACTACACCTAAGTCAGAAGGCATGGCCCATGGATCGCGTCTTTTTGCCCTGTCCGTAGGTCCCGTTGTTAGTGCTGTGTGCCATTTTCCTTTGACAGCAAAACTTGGTTTTATTTTGTTATATTATTTTTTGGTGCGAAGCTCTAAAACAAGCAATTTTCTTGAACGCGTGGTTTCGTACATGACGCGAATGAATAGTTGACCTCCCTGTCGCAGGGGAACATTGTCAGCGTTAGAGATTTACAATGTCAAAGCATTACTCAGTGAACTTACCTGCCTAACGCTAGTTTTCTCTAATGGTGGGCACTTCATGCCGTGGATAGAGCATCCGTTACTTTGGTGTTCTGGTGCATTAGTTGCTGTGGAACGCCAGTGTTTCTGAGGTCGCAACGTATCATTACGCCCCAGATGTGTGAAATTGTGCTCCAGAGGTAAAACTATGCCATTGATGTATAACATTACGCCCACCTCACAGGAGGCAGACCCCCGCCCCCTCGGCCAGGCTTAGGTTGCTAGTTACACCCCACCCAAGGCCGCCGCGGCCACCTGCTATGCGATTCCCAGGTAGTGCGGTGTCCGTTTGCCCGTGTGTTTGGCTGTTCGATGTGAGAGTAGTCTGTGATGTGGGCGGCGGCGCCAGCGCCAGCCGCTCTGTTCTCGTCGAGATCTGGCTTCCAGCTGTCCCTGTGACGGCGTCGGTGGGGAGAGGCCGCCCAGGCTCCGAGTGGCTCCAGACGCGGGCGCTGTGCGCTTGGAAGTCCTCGTGTGCGGCGAATGCTGTCTCGCGAGCGCCGTCGACGTAATCTCGAGACTTCTCGTCTTCGCGGTTCTTGTGGCTATCTTTTTATAGCCACAGCGTTGGTTGTGGTGCTAACGGTCGAGGCGCCGAGAGGTCTCTGAACGCATTTAGTATTTTTTTCTGGACTCGTACCAGCCACCGGTGCTGATTACTGACGTGTGGCACAGAACAAATGAATGGTGTAATAGTGACACGAAGACGTCGGGACGTCTGATGTTCACCAGTTGTATTAACATTTGCTCAACACTGAAACCAGCCGCCGGATGTACACACGCGTGCAATTAATTTGCTTACGGACCCTCGGTGCGTGGTACCGGGCTCTCCGTGTGCGCCCCAGCAATCACCACCGACCACTTTATCGGAATACAAGCGCCACTAATCGCCGCTCTGCCGTGTTACGTCTCGGTCGGATTCCGTGCGGCACGCTGCCTACGACGGCGGTGCTGGAGAGCCGGTCTCACTGCGGGTCGCCGTAGGTGACCGGGATCGGTACCTGCATGTCACGCAGCACGGTCTCCACGCAGTCCACCAGCCGGTGCATATCCGGCTCGTGCAGGTCGCCGATGTTCCCGATCCGGAAGCAGTCTGCGTCGGTCACCTTGCCCGGGTAGATGACCTGGTCCAGCGCCGACAGCCGGCGGTACAGTTCCGTGAACGAGAAGTTTGCGTGCGTGGGACACAGGAACGACCGTTATGATGTAGCAGTCGTCGCCGTCGCGCACCAGCGGCCGGAAGCCCAGCCGGCGCAGGCCGCGCTTCACGATGACGTTGTTGGCGCGGTAGCGGGACGCCTGCGCGGCCACGCCGCCGGCGCTCAGCAGCCCCTGCAGCGCGCAGTCGAACGCCAGCAGGGCGTGCGTGGGCGGCGTGAACCGGAACTGGCCGCTGCGCTCCAGCCCTGCCCACTGATCGAACAGGTCCAGGCTGAGGCTGCGGCTGTTACCTGCGGCCACGGTCAGACTCGGCGTGAGACAACGCGAAAGACGCCCAAACGCGACTTTAGGCAGTAGAGAAGACGGTCAGAGTGGTGTGAGACAACAACGAAAACAGTTAGACGTGTCGTGAGACAACGGGGCAGACGGCAGAGGTCAACCGTGACGCGAGGCAACAGGGAAGACGGCCAAACGTAGCGCAACACAAGATGGTCAAACGTGACGTGAAACAGTAGAAAAGACAGTCAGACACAGCGCGAGATAACAGGGAAGACGGTCAGACGTAGCGCGAGGTAATGGGACAGAGGTCAAACGTGACGTGAGAAAGCGGGGAATGCGCTCAGTTGTGGCGTTAAACAATAGGGAAGACCGTCAGACGCAGCGTAAGAACGCAAATAGAATTATGCGGAATAAAGCACTTAACACAACATCTGCCGGGATTGTCAAACCAACCTTTGGTTTGCTTCAGACGCTCGAGCCGAGCGATGACGAATCCGAAGCCGGGCACGCCCTCGATGCACTTGTTGGCCGAGCTGACCAGGTAGTCGACGCCGGCCGCCTCCAGGTCCAGCGGCACCGCCCCGAACGCGCTCATCGAGTCAACGATGAACGCGGCGCCGGGCTGCAGCTGGCGCACCAGTCGCCCCAGCTCAGCCACAGGGTTGAGCACGCCGCTGCTGGTCTCGCAGTGTACCATAGCAACAGCGGAGAGCGGGCCGGCGGCGAGCAGCGGCGCAGCTGCGGCCGGTGACAGCGCCTGCTCCTCCGACTGGTTGAACGTCTCGCACGCAATGCCAGCCGTGCGGCAGATCTGCTCCATACGCCGGCCGTAGGCGCCGTTGCAGAGGACCAGCATCTGCGGACAGGGTGACGCCGACTGACCCCCGCGGAC